GCCAGGCTAGATCCGTAGGATGCTGCCGCTGACAAAGATAGCCCGGCGGGAGAGCGTACGGCAGCAACCACCGTTAGCGTTTAGCCGAGCTCCCGACAGAAAATATACAACATCATCCGATTGTAATTAACGCAATCGCAATTAGTTCCACGGCAGCATAAAACGTGGTGTTCGCAACGGGCCGCTTTGAATTCCCCAAAGCACCCGGCTTCAATCAGCGGCAACACAGCGTGCGCGCGGAATAGGCGTACAGCGAGCGGAAATTTCATGCTCACCTGCAGCACTCTCCCGGTGGAGAGTCATCAAATATCTGTGCACGACGAAGGTCGAACATGCCTGGCCAGGTAAGAAGGAAGGTCGGCCGGCGCCAGTGAATGGGGGTCGATGAATGAAGGTAGTTCGCATGCTGAAGGGTCCTTTTCCGGTACCCTGTGTCAAGGACGTTTCAACCCCGGAATCGCTTCAGCCCTGATCCCCGAGGCAACGGCTCGTCCCGCGGAAGAATTTTTTCGAAAGAAAACCCCCGACTCGGGGAGGAAACTCTCGTGACGACGTTCAAGATGGAGAGACACCCTCCAACCATAGACACTATGGTTCGCTCCTGAACATTGCACGAGAAAGCGTTTCCACGTGAAAATGCTAAACGCGGCTAATGTTAGCTCTCGATCGAAAGATCTGATTTTCCAAGAGAATCTTCGATACAATTATTAAATCAGACGTTGGAAAATCTTGCCGAGACGTCTACGATCAGGATGATATCGAAGTCGGCAGCCAGTTCGCTGCGAGTAGCCAGCGGCTCCCCAGAAGTAGATAAGCTCGCATGCGTGTCTCGATTATCGAATATCATCGGCGGAACGTCATAAAATGCATAATGGCATATCGAATGGAGTGGCTCGCGTGTCCTCCGTCGGTGTAACTCGCAGTTCGTAAATAAAAGAGGAGCAATCGTCGGGAGTGCTTTGGGTCGGGCCAGTGCACCGCGCCGCGTCTGCACGGTCGAGCCACTGGGCGTGACAATATGCTCCTGCACAGGTGCAGCCGAAGGTATAGGTTCGCGGAGGCGCCTCGGGGAAGAAGAGACCAACCGAGGGAAAGAGAGAAACGGTGGCCGGGAGAAACACACAGCTCGAGAGAGAGAGAGAGAGGGAGAGAGAGAGAGAAAGAGAGAAGGAGCGTGGTCCTCTCGCCGCCCACGCGATCGGCCTTGCTCGTGGAGAAAGACGACGAGAGACGGGCGTCGTGCCGAGGGAGGACAGGAAGGAACGGAAAGGTAAGAAGGAGAGAAAAGGAACGTGCCGAGGAAAGAACAGGAGTTAGGTGTAGCCCTCGGACGAGTGTGTGCGCGCGCGTTCGAACGAGTACGTGGCCGCACACCTGTGCCAATGCAGCATGGCATAGAGTCGCATAACAGGTGGAAAGGTGAAAGA